CACCTGGGTGGCTCAGTCGTTAAGTGTCTGCCCTCGGCTCAGGTCATGATCCCAGGGTCCTGGGATCAAGCCCCGCGTCGGGTTCCCTGCTCAGCGGGAAGCCTGCTTCTCCCTCTCCCACTTCCCCTGCTTGTGTTCCCTTTCTCTCTGTGTCTCTGTCAAATAAATAAAATCTTTAAAAAAAGATAGGGTATCGAGAGGGGGTAAGATGGTAATTAGGAGCGTAGACTCTGGATTCAAATCCTGTCTCTCCCGCTTCCTAGCAGGGTGCCCTTGTGCAAATGACTTCACCTCTCCATACCTCGGCTTGTCCAATTCCTTTGGGCACTGGGAGGATCAAACGAGTTCGTGTACACAGAGCGCCTAGAACACTGCCTCGTGCCTGGTGAGCTCTGTTGATATCAGTTATAATTATGGCCTTCCGACAGATGGGAAAGCTGAGGCTCCCAAAGGGACACACTCAAGATTCCAACAGCCTTTCTGACCCTGAGCCGTCTCATTTTGCCTTGCAACAAGGTAAGCACTTGGCCCCCGTCCCCTCTGGTCCAATCCAGGAGGCAGGTCCTAGCTGCACCTCTATTCTGCAGACGGGAAAACTGATGGCAGCAGGAAGGGAGGAACACAAACGTGCAGCCGCTGAGCGGAACAACCAGATTCCGATGCAGGCGTGAACCCTGGAGCGTGCACACTGCCACCAGGCCCACTTTCTGGCCACCAGCCTGCTTTCTGGCCACAGCAGCCTGGTCAAAAGTCTGGTCGATGCAAGAATGCACTTGGCAGACAGGCTGGCTGCCCTGCGCTTGCCTCCCACCATCTGAGCACACAGGATAACATGAAGCTCCTCCCTGGGACGGCAGCCCCGGCGGCTCCCCAGGGCACGTGGGCACTGCCCCCAGCAGCCCTTCCCTGCAATTTCTGGGGCTCGGCCCACCCCACGGGCCATTCTCAATGAATCATTCCCATGAATCCTCCTTATGCCACAACCCAGAGTGGAAAAGACCAGAGAAGGGCCATGCGAGGGCGCAGGCATCTCAGAACCTTCTCTGGAGTGGCCCCAGACAGGGTGAGTGTGTGGCTGCAGAGCGCAGAGAAGGGGCCCTGCAGATGGCAGGAACAGGTGGCGGGGGGGGGGGGGGTGGTGAGGCCAGGAGCTGCTGTTACCCAGACGAGTTTCTGCAGTGCCACAGGGCAGATCAGAGCCATCTGGGCCATACCTGGGCTTTTAAATCACTACCACCAGCCACTGCTGACCCACCTCTCTTACTACATATCGATTCACAAAGTCGTGTCAATAACACGTTTTGACAGCCTTACCAATCCCAGGGTGGCACTAGATCCAAGTTCTGACTCAGTCCACACCCATTTCCCCAGCAGGATACACTGAGGCCCAGAGACTCTTCCCTAGTCTCCTGAACCGTTTCCATTTCCCCAGGCTATCCAGGAATGCCTGGTTGTAAAAGGACAAGGAAGGGAAAATATGCATAAATGAATAAAAGCAGGAGGGGCTGGTGACAGGTGCCAGAGGCCCAGCTCAATGGCCCTCCCAAACAGCAGCTGTCCAGGTAGGACAAGGCTGCTCCATGGGAACCCAGAACGCACGGAGGGATGCCGGGTTCGGTTCCAGAACCAGCAGACGACAGGCTTAAGAACATCAGGAACTGGTGACCTTCAAAAAACTTGGTTCTTCGATGAAAATGCCGTGCTCTGACCTGGGCTCTTCCCGAGCAGCTTCATCCTCACAGCAGGCAAAGAGCGTGAGGGAAGAGGTGGGGGTCCCAGGCATGGGGGCAATGCCAAGAGGAAGGAGGGGATGTCTGTGTGTCATCCCGAGGGGCACCGACAGGGCCTCTATAACTCAGGACTGTGGGTCTCAGGTCTGGGAGTGGGGGGCGAGGGAGGGGTGGCATCGGTTGAAACAAGCAGTGACTCCCTGAGGCCGCTCAGATGGCCCACCCCACATGGCCACCAGGGGAGGTCACCTGCAGAATGAGCATAGGTGGCCAGGGTGGGGCCCCGGGCAGGACCAGACTCCCTTTCACCGCTGAGGGACTGGCCTCTGCAGCTGGGGTGGGAAGGTCTGGCCAGTTCCTACTTTTCCATTCTCCTATACACAGGTTCCTAACAGGCACCACCAGGTCCTGGGGTAGGCACTGCAAGCCCCTGGGCTCCTCAGTGCCCCCCGTCCCGCACAGGGCCCGGTAGACTGCCCTCACAACTACGCCCCTGTTACAGAAGCAATGCAAGCACACACACGCCTTGGCAAAGCGCTCCACGGGCTGGATTTCTGGTTTCCTGATGGTCCCAGAGATGCTCCTGGTGACCCACAGGACACTCCTTATTCTGCTAACGAGGCATTTAACTCAATGCATATTGGAAAATAATTTATACCGAGCACATCAAAGCCAGTGATTTCAAAGACTGTAACTATTCGGAGACTATGTTTATTTAAGATGATCGGTACCCCCATCTGCTGCTGGCGAGACTGTAAAATGGGGAAGCTGCTCTGGGAACCTGGCACTTCTTCAAAAGGTTAAACACAGAATTACCATCCGATCCAGCAATTCTACTCCCAGGGATATACCGGGGAGAACTGAAAACATATGGGCACACACAAGCTTGTACACAAATGTTCACAGCAGCAGTATTCACAGCAGCCAAAAAGCAGAAATAACACAAATGTCCACCAGCTGAGAAGTGGTTAAATAGAGTATATCCATGCAATGGAATATTATTCAGCCATTAAAAGGTAATGAAGTACAACTAATGAAACTAATACTGTATGTTAACTATACTGAAATAACAAAAAAAAAAGTAATGAAATACCAGGACGCCTGGGTGGCTCAGTCAGTTAAGCGTCTGACTCTTGGTTTCAGCTCAGGTCCTGAGATCGAGCCCTGCGTCTGGCTCCATGTTCAGCAGGGAGTCGGCTTCCTCCCTCCTTCTCCCTCTGCCCCTTCCCCTACTCATTCTCTCTCTCTCTCTCTCAAATAAATAAATAAATAAATCTTAAAAAAACCTGTTAAAAAAAAAAGTAAGGAAGAACTGCTATATACTACCACACGGATGGCCCTCAGAATCATTCTAAGTGAAAGGTACCAGTAACAAAAGGCCACATTGTGCGTGACTCCATTTACATGAAATGTCCAGTATAGGCAAATCCATAGAGACAGAAAGTAGATTAGTGGTTGCCAGGGGCTGGGGAGAGAGGGATTGAGAGGTGATTGCAGATGGGTCCAGGGTTTCTTTTTGGGTGATGAAAATGTTCTAAAATATTCACTCTGTGAATATCCTAAAAAGCCGCTGAACTGAATGCTTTAAAATCGTGAATTATAGGATATATGAACTTGATCTTAGTAAAGCTGCTATAAAGAGATTACATGAGGTTTTAAAAAATACGGTGATAGGGGCATCTGGGTGGCTCAGTCGGTTAAGCGGCTGCCTTCGGCTCAGGTCATGATCCTGGGGTCCTGGGATAGAGCCCCACGTCAGGCTCCCTGCTCAGCAGAGAGCCTGCTTCTCCCTCTCCCTCTGCCTGCCACTCTGCCTACTTGTGCTCTCTCTCTCTCTGTCAAATAAATAAATAAAATCTTAAAAAAAAAAATACAGTGATTTAAACACACACACTGAGTAAATAATAGTACAACCGGGATTCAGTAGGGTAAATTGGTTCATGAATGACTCAACAAACCCAATTTTACAGTCATGGAAACTGAGGCTGGATGAGGAGGAATGACTCGCACAGACTACATCACTACTAAACCAGAGTGAGTCACCCCGAGATCTGCCCAACTCCAGAAGCCTGGCCTAACCATGAGGCCACCCAGCTGAATGAAAGGATAGGAGATGGGGTACAGGGACAGATGTCCACAGCCCAGGATGGGAGGTTGATAAGTGAGGGAAAGGGCCAGTCACCTCTGTGGGTTTCAAAACAGGAAGCACTCAACAATGCCTGCCAAAGGCTTCCAGGATGGGGTGCTGCCTGAGGCTTCTGAAGGATGAGTAGGAGTTTGACAGCTCCCCTCCCCAACAACCATACATGACATATGAAGTCAGGACGTCTGAGGGTGGGTTTCAGCTCTGCCACATCCTACCTGTGGGACCTACAAGGGCCGTGGGCACTTGACCTTTCTGAGCCTCACTTTCCCCACCTGTAAAAGGGGAAGTGGGCAAGTGATAGGCACAGTGCCTTGTAACGACCGCACTCCATTGGATGGTCCCCACCCTGCCTCCCGAGGGGATGGGCATTTGAGTGAGAAAGTCAGACCCGACTTCTGCCCCACATAATAATAACGACTCTGCCAAGTCCGGCAACCAGGCCTGGGTGACCAAGCCCCCCTTCCCGCGCTGCCACTCCCAGTCTGTTTTATCAAGCACTTTCCGTCCAGCTCACACTGAAAGGGGGAGGCTGCCAGGCGGCGGGGTCTTCTGGCAGAATTTCGCTCCCTCCTCCCGGCTGACCCTCAAGTTCACCAGGGCTCCCCCTACCCCATGCTCTCTGCGGCCCCCTCCTCAGCCAGCGATTTCCGCCGCCCAACGCCTCCACTCTGGACACGCCTCGCAACTGCACGGCGTTGCAAGTTAACTTCCACGCGCCCCCCGCGCGTCCCGGAGCCCGCCCGGGGGGTCCCCGCACGCCGCGGAGGGGCCGGGGACCCCGACGGCGGTGACACGCCGTCGCCCCCAACCCCCACTCCCAACACACACACGGACGCTGAGCGCCGCCGGGGCGCGGAGTCCGAGGCGAGAAGCGCGGTCAGGGGGCCGGGGCTCTACCGCACCCCGCGGACAGCGCTCGGGGCGCCCGGCGTCTGCGGATCCTCGAACCGGCCCGCGCGCGCCGCCTCCCGCCCAGCTCCCAGCCCCGGAGCCTCAGCAGCCGCGTCGGGCCCGGGAAGAAGCCGCCCGGGCTGAGGGCTCCACGGCGTCCGAGGCCGACTCGCAGACGCCTCCCTGCCGGCGGCCGCGGCCCGGACCCCACGCGCCACCCAAGGGCCACCTACCGTGCAAAAGCGCTGCGAGGCGACCCCGCTCGCCCAGCGACTCCGGGCTGGCCAGCCGCCCC